GTTCCAAAGTCGCTCCTAGGGTGCATCAGGGGACTTCATACCTATGGCCTCGGGGGCAGCCACAATCTTTAGTTAGAGCACGATAATTCTACTTGTCCTACTGCAGCCTAGTTGTAGCCAGGTTATAAAAGGCCGAATGTTGGAAAACGTCCAAATTACGCTCAGCTCAGTGACACAGGTCTCTGCCAAAGAACTCAGGTCAGACTGGGCCAGCTGGGGAGCCAATGTACTCTCAGCTGACTCAGAAGTCAGAGGTCACCCACTGACCTCTCTCCAGCCCACCCAAACCCCCGGGCAAGGCGACAGACAGAGCAGCTGCAGACCCTGTGCTGGGAAGAGATGAGACTTCCTGTCGGCCGATGCCTGCCCCCCCAACCCCCATGAGTCAGGAGTGTGCTCCAGGCCCCAGGCACCAGCTTACGGCATTTCTCCATTAATCTAAGAAGGTTGACGCCAGGGTCTCAGTTCCAACGCAGGGCCCTGCTGCTGGATGGCACGCGTTTCAGTGCTGCCGCACAGGCCGTCTGCCTTTCTGAGCACATAGCCACGTGGGAGCCTGGAAGGCCTGTTACGCTCAGGATTTAATTCCCGACTTGGGGAAATGTGGCTTTTTACAATGTGAGCAAGGTTCTCAGAGAACCTTAGCACCTGCCCTCCCTGCCCAGGGTGGGTTTGAATCCTGATCGAAGGCTCAGCTTGGAGAAGTGCCTCCGACCAATCCCTTAGGTGCCAATGCAAACCGCTCACCCCAAGTGATGGGACAACGGAAAGCAGAGTGCAGTGTGGAGCCAGCAGCGTGAGGCAGAAACCAGGGTGGCTGTTGGGACTGCAGCTGGGGACTCTGCTCTGGATAGCAGACTCAAAATGTAGCAATACATCTGCATTTTTTAAAAAAATTGTTGATAACCAAGTTAATTGCACCAGGATCAGAGAACATGGTTTGTACAATAGGAATTCTTTGAAATGGGATGAAACTTCTTTATGGGCCATCTGCTCGCTGTCTGCCCAATCTTGAGATATTATGGAAATCTGTGCCAGTCTCAGGCTCAGCTCCGAGTTGCAAGGCCTCGCACTGCTGAGAATCAGGAAATGTTAAAGAACCAGCCTGGGTCATGGACTTCGGACCCATGCCAAGAAGACCCCACAGTTGGCTGAATACTCTGCTGTCTCCACACTGCACTGGAGCCCCCTCCTGCCTGGGGTCCTGGAGCACTGTAAGGGATGTCTTTAAGAGGTGTCTCTGTGGGGGTTTCATGGGTCATTTCCAGAGAACAGAAAGGTGGGAGGGTGGGATGGAGAAAGAGAGCGGCTTCTCCCTCCCTGACATGACCCTGACCCTCTCTCACTTCATAGAACATCTGCTCTCTGCCCTCACTCCTGCTTCCCCACATCTCCCCAGGGCTGGCTGCATCCTCTCACTCAAGTGCCCTTCCCAGTGCCTTCCTCTGGAAGAGGCTGTGTCTGTCAACCCAGCACTGTGTTCTCAGCGTCCGTAACTCTGCTTGGGTTCTGTGTTTTGTCAGTGTGTTCATTTTATTCCTGCACACGGATGCAAATATGTATGCATGTGTGTGTACAGACGCAACTGCTTCCTAAATTTAGAATGCAGCTTCCACGAGGGCAGGGCCACTGCTGACTCCTCCCTCTCTCTTCCCAGCAATTCCACTCCTGGGCTCCAGGTGCAGCTCTGAACGCCAACTTCTGCCTAACTTTGGGCAAGTTACACAATCTCTCTTCACCTGTAATGGAGCATAATGATAACAAGGGGCAAGTGGAATGACGTCAGCACCGAGCACAGTGTCTGGGAGGGGCCAGGGGCCAGGTAAGACTTTTGTCAAGTCAATGAATGCATGCACTAGCTGGCTGCTGAGCACCTGTGATTTATAAGCCACGGTTCCTGACTTCTAACTCCTCTAAGCGGTGCAATGACTTTAGGCTCAGGGAGCTGGAATCACCTGCTCAGGCTCGGGCAGAAGTGAACTGTGGAACTCCTAACTGGAAATTAAGCTGGGGGCCGGCAAGTAGGCTCATGAGAAGGTGGATGGAGGGCTGGGGACCAGATCGGATTCCTCCCGCAACTCAGAATGAGTGGGCCAAAACAGAGGAGGAATTTTACTACCTGGAATGCAGAGTGAACAAGGGATCTTCCGCTAAGATGAAGGTGGGGGTAAGGGGCGTTTGGTGCACCCATTGAGCTGCCAGCAGAGATGCCCACATCTCATTCCTGAGCGTCTCACTGGAATTGTGGCTCTGCTTTTGATCCCAGCTTTGTGCTAATGCAGTCCCTGGGAGGCAGGAGGTGGTGACTCAAGTATTTGGGTCCCTACCACCCCACTAAGGACCTAGATTGAGTCTCAGGCTCCTTGCTTCTGCTTGGCCCAGCACTGGCTGTTGCAAGCATCTCCATAGTGACACAGTTGATAGAAGTTTTCTCTACCTCCCCAGCCACCTGCTGCCTCTCAAATACAGTGAAAATAACAATTTGTTAGAAAGATGAGGTGAGGACAAGGTCCTATCGAGACTGGAAAGGATCCAGCCCCCCCCTCCCCCAGACCCGAGCAGACTAGAGAGCTGTCTCACCACCCGGACATCACCCTCCTCCCACCATCTCCCATCTCTCCCCTCCCACTGCTCTATGAGAAGTCTCTTCCTGGTTTCTTTCTTTCTCTCTCTCTTTCTTTCTTTCTTTCTTTCTTTCTTTCTTTCTTTCTTTCTTTCTTTCTTTCTTTCTTTTTGACAGGCAGAGTGGACAGTGAGAGAGAGAGACAGAGAGAAAGGTCTTCATTTTGCCATTGGTTCACCCTCCAATGGCGGCTGCGGCCAACGTGCTGCGGCTGGCACACCGCACTGATCCGATGGCAGGAGCCAGGTACTTATCCTGGTTTCCCATGGGGTGCAGGGCCCAAGTACTTGGGCCATCCTCCACTGCACTCCCTGGCCACAGCAGAGAGCTGGCCTGGAAGAGGGGCAACCGGGACAGAATCCGGTGCCCCGACCGGGACTAGAACCCAGTGTGCCGGCGCCACAAGGTGGAGGATTAGCCTAGTGAGCCACAGCGTCGGCCATCTTCCTGATTTCTTATCACAACTTTTGCTCAGCCTGCTGCTGACACCTCCAAGTATTGACCCTCTTGCCTCTTCCCAAGTTTGCTTTTCTAACCTTTTATGGTTTATTAGAAAAACCATCTTTTGCTATGCAAGTGCAAATGGTTCAAGCAATCTGCTCAATGGCCAAGGTAGAAGAGAGTAGAATAGTGACTACTAGAGGCTGCGAAGGGGAGAGGAGAGGAACTAGGAGGAAGTTGGATAATGGATACTAAAATGCCATTGGATAAGAGGAATAAGGGGGGCGGGCATCTGGTACAGAGGTTACAATGCCACTTGGGATGCCCACAGCCCGTATCGGAGTGCCTGGGTTCTGGTTCCAGCTTCCACACCCAATTCAAGCTTCCTGCTAATGTGCACCCTGGGAGGCAACAGATGATGGTTCAAGTACTTGGGAGCCCGCCTCCCACATGGGGGACCCATATTGGATTCCTTGGTCCTGGCTTTGACCTGCCCTAGCCTTGGCTGTTGCAGGCATTTGAGGAGTCAACAAGCAGATGGAAGATCTCTGTCTCACCCTCTGTCTCTATCTTGCTTTCAAACAAAAATAGTTTTTTAAAAGGTGTGAGGAATAGGTTCTGGTGTTCCACAGCACGGGGGGTGACTACAGTTCACAATTATGTATTATGTAGTTTGTGAAGAACTAAAAGGGAGACACTCAAAGCATCCAAAGAATAATAAGGAAATGGAATTCTATTTGATCAACGCAAATTGTATACAGCATTGAAGTATCACCGTGCCCACCATAAATATCTGTAATGATTGTGTGTTCATTAAAAGAAAAAAATAAGGTTAACTTCAGAGAGGGTGTGAGTGGTGAAAGTCTGGTCCAGAAACTCCGCAGACCTGGGTTCTGACTCTGTGTGACCCTGAGCTCCTCGGAGGTGAGGATTTTCCTGTGGAAACACAGAGGCCTGCTCACCACTGACGTCCTGGCTCCACCAGGGACCAACATCCAAGAGAGGAAGACCAAGAAGGGCTGGTCCCCAGGGCAGCCTGCCCAGGCATATGTAGGGGCAGCCTGTGGGCACTGGGAGGGCACTGCACCTGCAGGACCCACACTGCAGGGTACGCACGGAGAATGTCTTTTCCACTGCCCTGACTTTGCTTTAGAGACTAGGACAGGGGGTACAGGAGCTGTAGCAACATGTGCAGTTGTGGTTCCCAGAGAAGCCACCAGTCAAGGCTACCGAGGCAGCTCCTGGGGACAGACTGCCCGGGCCATCTGCAAGGGGCAGCCTGCACCTGGGTGCCCAGCTGCGACACCTCAAGCTCCTTGCAGCTGAGCAGCCTTCCTGTGGCCTGTGGCAGCCTGGGGCTGGAGAGGAGATGACAGAAAGCAGCTGATCCATCTTCTAAGAAAGGCAAGAAGGCCTGACACTGAACTTGCTTGCCTGGTCTCACTGACCTTGCATCCCGGAATCAGCTGTTGGCTTTGTAAAACATTGCTGCATTGTTTGGTATAAGCTCACACTCATTTCCATGTATCCTCCCTAGCTGGGTTCTAAGTGATGTTCACCTATGAACCATTTAACAGCCCTCCGAGGGAGGTAGTAGGCTGAATATTTGAAACTTCCAATCTGTAGGTCAAAAAATGGTTGAATCATGACAATGTCACGTGCCTCCTAATATGATTTTGTCTGCTTACGGATGAGGCAATGAGACCCGTATCGGGCATGCAACTTGCCCAGCCACGTGGCCTCAACTGAGGTGTGGTGAGCCAGGCAAGGGGAAGTTTCAACACTGGTGGGGTAGCGCCTTCCGTCCTGAGCAAACCAGGGACCCTCCAACTCCTCGGTGCCCTCGGGTCCCCCACCCACGTGGTCCCCAGATGCACTGAAGACTGCAGAGCTCCCCCTGGCTGTGCCCAGCCCCGCCTGGCCGCCTGCAGGTTACCTCTCCGTGTCACTGTCACTGGAAGCCACCTCTTCCAAGGCTGCCTGGAGGTCAGCGATCCTCCGGATGGACGTCTCCAGGTCTGTCTGCAGGGTCTGCCTCACGGCCGCCAGCTCCTCCACGTACTTCTCCTGGATACAGGGACACAAGCAGGCATTGGCTGAGGGAGGAACTCGACCCACCCATGAGCTCGCTGACGTTCTCCAAGCACCCATCTGCAAGCTGAGTCCTCCATGAGACCCAGTGGACCCTCAGGTGCTCCTCCACAAGATGGAGGATGCACTGGGTGCTTGGGAGCCTCTGGGTCATGACCAGGGGGGATGCGGGGCTGACCCATCCATTCAGGGGGTGCTGCGCCCACTGGGTCGGACCCCAGAGCTATGCAGCACACTTCCGGGTACAATGAGGGCTCTCAGTCCACAAACAGAGAAGGGCCACAGAGGTCGGGGACGGATCTGGGGCAGCAGGGTGGAGGCAGAGCAGAATAAAGACAGCGTTCTTTCAACTCAGTCACCCAGACGCCTCCGCCTTTCTGTCCTCGGTGGCAGCAAAGACAAAGATGGGAGACCCAGCAGGGCTTCCAGCGGAGCAGACAGGGACAACGGGAGTTTGTAGAATGCTTTCTGGGGCCAGCACAAGTTCATGACCTAACAAGCCTGGCAGGTGCATTCCAATTATTGCCCCGTCTCACAGGCAAGGAACAAGCAACGTGTTAGCAGATGAGCTCAGGGCACCTGACTCCCTCTCAGCGCTCATTCTCATTGCTGACTCTTGGGAAAAATCTCTGACTTCTGTTGGCAACCGATTTCACTCCCCGCCCCCCTTAAATGTGGCAATTGTCAACAGCAAGTGACTCGACACCCCAAAGACATTTGGCAATGTCTGGGGACACTTTTGATCCTCTCCACTTTGGGGGACAATCCTACAAGGCAGTGTACCAGCCCCACCAAAAAACTGTCAATTCTGCTGAGTTAGAAACCCTGGGCTAAACCGGGAATCCCATCTCCTGGGAATTATTCCTTAGGCTGCTAAGTCAAATGGCAGAACACAGCCCTGCACCCATGGATGCGTGGGACAGAGCTGCCAATGGCATGGAGAAGCTAGGATTCCCAGCATTACCCAGGAACAGGGAGTGGGTCAGGAAAACCCGGCGTGTCCCTCTGATGCTACAGGAAGGATTATTGACATCAGAAATACAGATGACTGCAGTGTGGGGCTCTTCGGAGAAATAGGGTGACACAGCAGAAGAGAACAGGGGATTTGGTGCCCAACCCTGTGCAAGAGACGAGCACAGCCACACCTGGAGAAGCATTTGCAGAGCACGGGATATTTATGAATGGGGCATAGCGGGCTAGTGGATGGGATTTTTCTGTTATGCAAAGGGTATTACTGGAATGCTATGGCTTTTTACTTTTTTTCAAAATGCATGTGATTAATACAAAGAGAACAGATTTCATGTATTTCATGGGTACAATTCTAAAACAACCACACTCCCCTCCCTCCCTCAATCCCCCTCCTTCCTTTTCTTTTCTTTAATTTTTGCAAAAACATTTTTTTCAGTCCACTGTATAATGCAGCACTAGCCACAATGTTCAATAAGTAAAAAGCAGAAAGACCACAATGGAGCAGGAGTACAAAGAAGGGCTAAAACCAACAGTCAAATCGCATCATGTCCATTTCACACCCATGCATTGTTTTGTATTCTGTGTCAACTACCACACGACATAGAACACACATGATATTTAGCTTTTGGGGACTGGCTCATCTCGGTAAGCGTACCGGTTTCCAGCTGCATCCACACTGTCACAAAAGACAGGATCTCATTCCTTTTTTATGGCTGTGTAGTGTTCCGCAGTTTAAAGGAACATACGTATACCAGCAGATGGGGGTGGACATGAGGGTTTAAGGCTACCTCCGAATGCAATTCCCAGCTCCCATGGAATTCGCTGGCTGAATGACCCTGAATTGCTCATCTCTCAACCTGAGATGATTTTTTTTTTAACTGTGGACATCCTCAGGGAGGTCACCGCAGACCATGGCTGTTCCCCATGAGAGGGACACACTCAGCTCTCCTGGGCAGACCGGCTTGTCCATTCATGTTACTTTAAGTCTATGCCTTTCCAGTGATGTGCAGTCTTTCTTCTTAAAGAGGGAGAGACAGAGAGAGAGAGAGGCAGCGAGCCCGCCCGAGGCGCGAGCTGCGGGGGAGGCGAGCAGCGGCCGTGTCCCGGGAAGCAGAGGCGGCGTGGGAAGGGGCTGGCAGTGCACTGTAGTTGATTGAAGTTGCCAGCTGTGAAAGCCCTGGCTGGGTCCTGACAGGTGAGAGACTTCCTGAGGCAGGAGCCCCGGGCTGGAGGCCAGTGGGCTGTCAGAAGAAATCAAGGACACCAGGGGCCATGGACAGAGTGCTCGCCCCAGGCCACCACGGCATCAGCTCGTAGATGCACCTAGCAGAATGATGGCCCCTGACCAGCGACACTGGCCAAAGCTCGCCTGCCTAGTGGGGAATCCGCCACCCTCTCCCAGAAGATTTTGTAAGGAACAGGGGCAGAGGAGTCTGCATTTCCACCTTAGATCCGATCAGATGTCCACATGTCTGGGCTGTGGTGGCCACTGGCTTCCATAAACATCGGTGGAGTGAGTGTCCCCTTTAGAGACGAGGAAGGTGAGGGCTAGAGGCGTGAAGTCACCTGTCTGAGGTTACGTAGCTGGGAGACCACGAGGCTGGGGTGAACATCAGGCCTTGGGTCTCAAGTGAGAACCCTTTAGGCCACACGTGCAGGGATACAAGAACACAGCTCAGCTGTCCCCGGCCAGCTCTGCCTGGGCGAACCTTGGTCATGCAGGAGGCAGTGAGGGTCTGCAGCCTCATTCCTCGGGGAGCCTCCTGGTGGAGGCAGGAGAGGGACAAAGGCAGGCACTCTGACTCGGGGGCTGGGGGGCTGGGCTGGGATTAAGCAGGTGCACAGAGGAGTATACCAGGTTCATCGTCTCATGGAGGTTAAAGTGGGCTGTGGAGTCAGGCTGCCTGGGTTTGAATTCCAATTCTGCTGCTCCCTTGCTGTGTGACCTTCAGCTGCCTCATGGGTCAAACTGGGGCAGGGGTAGGACTGGGGCAAGTGGCAGATGCGTGTGGCAGAGCAAGGGGCCTCGACCAGCACTGCTAGCATTTATGTCTCAGAAGAGAATGCAGAGAGAAAGGGCAACATCGTCCCCAGGTCCCTCGGGAGACTTGCCAAGGCCACCCAGAGAATAAGGGGGGTGGTGGGCAGGACGCTGCTTCCAGAGCTTCCTCACAGCCCCACAGAGGGAAGAGGTGGACAGAAACACAGGGCAGCAGACAGGATGCATGAGCCGGACAGGAAGACAAGAGCTGACAGCAAGCAAACCATGGATGAGGCTTGAGGACTACCCCTTGCCCTCTGCCCTCTGCCCGGCCCCCTTACTCGCTGTGTCCATCCTGGAAACCTAGCAGGAACACCCTCAGGAGAGGCATCTGGGAAATTCAGCATCTGTGTAACAGCAATTGGCAAGTCTTTCCTGCTTCAGCTTGAAAGCCAGAGTCTGCTGATCACTCAGGTCAGGACCTTGGGCCAAACAACGTGGCACCCTGGGGGCAGAACAACCTGGAACCCAGCCACAGCCCGTGGAGACACATGGGGGGGAGGGGTATAAGGGAGGCTCCTCCTCTCAGGCCTGGGCACCAGGCCTTGCCCTCCCTCCAGACAACAGGAAGCGAGTGGACTGGAAGCCAGGATGGCATCTGACCGGGGTGCTGGGGATGGGCTCAGGGCTGCTCCTCGCAAGTGGTTGTGTTTGGGGGCCAGGTGAGAGCTTGGACCTCTCCGTAGTTAGCTCTCTCTAAAAAGTGGGAGCACACAGAAGTTGGGGGAATGGGAGACAAGTGGGATCTAAACCTATTCAGTTATAGGTATCTAGATGTGCAGACAGATCTAAAACTCACTAAGAAACAGACCATGAGCCCAGAGTAATCGGCACACAACATACACGTGTGCTAGTACATGTAATACACATGTACACTGTTCATTCACATGTACATTCATTCAGTGGGCGTCTGTTGAGTGGCTAAATGTGCCAGGGCTGACCTAGGGCACAGGGCATGTGGATGAGGTCCTCACTTCCTTGGCCCTTGCCCTGTTGGAAGGAAGAGAATCTATCTGGATTGCTGTGTCTGGAACATGGCAGGCACCGAGAGGCACTGTGGGATGGAATGGACAATGTTCTTGTATGACTGTTAGTTGTGAATGAATGAGGGCCAAGGGTAGCACACATTCACTGTGCACAGAAAGTACACATCATGGGGGTGGGGTAGGCACTTAGCATCCCGGTTACCATGCTGCTTGCCACTGCCTCCCATCCCCCCTTGGACTGCCTGGGTGCAAGTCCCTGCTCTGCTCCTATTTCAGCTTCCTGCTAACGTGGACCCCGGAAGGCAGCAGTGGTGCCCCAAGTACTTGCGTCCCTGCCACCCACAGAGGAGACTTGGGTTGAGTTCCCGGTTCCCAGCTCCAACTTGAGGCAGGCCCTGCTTCAGCTGATGTGAGCATATGAAGAGCAAACCACCTGGGGGTATACATAGTCTCTCTGTCCAAGAAAGGGGAAGAGGGAGAGGGAGAGGGAGAGGGAGAGGGGGAGGGGGAGGGAGAGGGGGAGGGAGAGGGAGAGAGAGAGGCAGAGGAAGGAAGAGAGGAAAGGAAAAGGAGGAAGGAGGGAGGGGTGAACCAGTCTCTTAGGTGTGATTTAGCTCCACTGACAAAACTCCCACCATGGCACTGTGTGTACAGAGGACAACAGCATTCAGTGTGTAGATGAAATGCACACTGATGGAGAATCAGGATCTTCTGGCAAAGTCCCAGGACACCCCCACCCCCCACACACGTGGGTCATTACTGCAGAGCGCTGCCCATGGGGGAAGCAGTTCATGCAGTAATGAATGACTGAAATGACAGTGATCTCTCGGGACGCGCAATTAGAGGCTGATATTTCAAACTGCTTGTGGTTTACGCTCCCTGCCCGGAGCATCTCACTCTTCGCAGGAGCCTCTCCCGCCTGCAGACCCCCGGGACCCTTATATGTTGGTTCCCCGGGCTCTGCAGGCTGCCTCTGGAGC